GACAGACCCCCTTTCAACCACCCCAATTGATCGGCAGTCCTATGGCAGTCCCATGGATCGTGTCTGGGAGAGGATTTCCCAGTTCTCTGATCTCTCGGATCTCACAAGCAGGTGCATGCCGCCGTTCAGCAACATCGGGCCGCCAAACCACTGCCGACGACTGGCATCACCTCAGAGAACATCTCGGACAAAGAGACGCAAAGAGACATGAATTCCCAGATGGTGTTTTGTCATAGAAACACGTGTGCGCAACGTTCTTCAAAGCAGCTGTCTGTTTCTGCTTTTTCATGATGTTCAGGTACACGGAAGAACATGCACGTCCTCTTTTGGGAGACCAAAATATGTCTAGAGTCTAGAGACACCTGCAAGATCTCGCCCTTCTTCTTAGTAACCACAAAGGGACCCGTCAGGCCCAACATGTTCCAGCATGTTCCAACACGCGAACACCCACGGACTCGCAGTATGCATTGTTCTTTGCTCTTGCCATAGCTCTCTGTAAAAGCTCTAGGATTGGAATCCAAGACTCAGCTTCTATCTCTTGCAGCTCTCAGTCGATAGAGATCAGTAGCAGCTTCTATACCTTCTCAGCTAAGGGTCTGGCTCTTTCCCACACTCTGGTAATCAGCCTGGCACGTCCCCCAGGTGCCGCATGCATGGCCCATCCGACCAAGCCGTCTGGTGCCGGGTGAGTGATTGGCAAATGTTCAAATAAGACGACCGTGGCATCCGACGCGGACTTTTGAAACAAGTTTATTATATAAGTGTGTGTGGGCTTTTTTTTAAGAGTTGCAACCATGCAAACAACATTGTATGTTGTTGTTTTTAGGGGGTAGGCCACGAGTAGAGGTAGGAAGTAGGTAGTACCTAGAGGTAGCTAGTAGTAGCTAGGTAGCTACTGCATAATATGGACACAGGATAGGATAGCTCACGCTTCTTCAAGGAAGCTCCCCCCGCCGCCCAGATTTGGTTTCTAGATTCGGGAAACTTATATAACTTATATATATATATACATTTGGCATCATTTGGCTCATGCCGGTTTTCCCTGTCCTTCCAAACTACACGAATCTTGCCACAAGCTGATTTGATGCCCAAAAATGTGAGGCGCTTGCCATAACTGCCTCACCAAACATGCATTGACGGCTTTCTTCAGATTCCTAGAAGCTCACTGCCTTGTCCACGAACTGGAAGACAAAACTGCGCAGAAAAGTGGCAGGACTTTAAATGTATGTTCCGAATCCAAACCCTAGAGTAGACCCCAATTCGAGTCCTCTTGCCAATTGCCCCAAAAAATGGCCCTCCACTCCCAACGCCCAAAGGGAGTGAGGTCCCACCCCCCCCTGCGGCTCAGTCCGGCGCTCTGTTTTTTCGGCATTAAACCTTTGATGCCAGGAACGCGTTCGATTTCGACATTCCCCTCTGAGAGTGCCTGCTTTGGCCAGGCGCTGCATTTGCAGCACGTTTTGTGGCCACGGTCAAGCACAGAAGCGGGGAGGGTAATCTGGTAGGGAAGTGGAGCAAAAAAAACAACTGCACCAAGTCGAAGTACTATACCTCCAATCCTGGTATGATGATACTGGATCGAAGTCCATTTGAAGCTTCCTTTTTTTGAGGCATGACTGGGGTGGTTTAAAGGTTATATAAGCATGTAGATCATATGCACATAATTGTAGATATATGTTCATATCATGTCTTGTTCAAACGATTGTTGATGCGTGAAGTCTCTGAGCACCTTTTTGGCTTCATAACTCATGGCGCCAGCTCAGCAAAAAAGAACACCCCCAGCGCAGTAGAGCGATGACCGACCTTTGATTCATCTCTGGTCCTGCAGATCACTCATCAATTCAAGAATTGGCTCCAAGTTCCCTCACAGAAGTACACTATCATTGCGCCAGCACTCACCGTTTCATGAGCAGCTCAACGCAGCTACAGCTGGGCGCCTGGTGTTCACCGGGCCTGGTTGCCTTGGGGACGCAAAAGGGTCGATGCCGTCCGCCACAAGTGTGCAGCCCTCGCTTTTTTGGGGGGTCTTTGAATGACATCCATCTGCCTCGAGTCCGTGGGATCACAGGAGCAGGGGTGGGCCGTTTCCTGCCGGACGGGCGGGCGCGGCGCCTCAGCGCCTCAGCTGGGACGCTTGAAGTTGCTGGCAGCCTCAGTCCGTCTCTCCGCGCGAACCGTCGTCACCGGGACGGTCGTTGCGTGGGGCGAACCAGCGGTCAGGCGGCCGCTAGAAAGCCATGGCCCAACCATGTCACCATGTCCAAAAAGGATGGAATCTCCCAGGAGTCACATGTTGGAATGCCGAGCTTGGAGGAAGTCGGAGTGCCCAGAACCACAACCTCCGCCCCGGCCCGATGGGACGAGCCACCCCGAGGTCCTCTAACTCCGTGTCCTCGAATCTCTGGCCGGTGGGCCGGGGTCGCACCCTCGAAGCGACCGGTTTTTGGACGGTGGGTTTCTTGCACTCAGTTGCTGGGCGTCAACTGACTGCTGGCTCTTCAAGAGGCCAAGGCTGGGCTTCTTGGTAGACCAGAAGATCCTGTCACGTCACGGTCAGACTCTGTCCACCTGGTGGGGAACCATGTGGAGTTCACATGTTTGAGGCTTCGTGAGGCGCTTCAGCACGTCAACCCACAACCAGCCTCGTTTCTGAGCGTTGATGCTTCCATGCACTCAACAGAGCCCAAAATGTGAAGAGCTCCAAGAAAAGGCTCGGGCATTCGGGCATAGAAACCGGTGGGTCCTCCATGGCAACAGAGCTTCATTTCACCAGAACGTCGTCATTGCCAGTCCTCCAAACAGTCACATGTTCATATTGTACACACATCTCATACAATATATATATATATATATATTTAAATATATACATATATATAATCATAGAATTAACATGCTTTTTGATGGTCACATTGACAGAACATCTCCAAAAGAATGCACATATGTTCTATCTTCAGAACATGTGCGGAAGTGGTTACCCACCCGTCGCAAATCCAAGGTCCAACCGTCCCGGAGGGTCCACCGCAGTCAGGACGAGTAGCACTAAAGCAACTTGTGGGCAGTTGGCTCTCCACTGGCTCCTAACTGGCAAGGGTGGAAGGGAGCCAAAGGGACGAACAGGGGCGCGGTCCATGATGGAGGATGCTGCTTTTCTGATTGTGCACATGTTGCTTTACCCAGAAAAAGAAGCCTGACCAGCATCTGACCCATGCACCATCTACAAGACCTGAATGCCTTGATCACTGCTCTCAGACCCTGAGAAAGAAACTGTGATCATTGCAGCTGTCCCATGGTTTGCTACTGCCCCTCCCACATTCCAGTGACCACAGCATATCACAGCTACTTGCCATGTCAGCCCTTCCAAAGTTGCATAAGAAAATGAGTAGAAATTCAGGCCAGCACGCGAGCCACCATTCCCCAACATCCACTGTTTCTGGATTCGGATCCTCCAAAAAAAACCGACTGCGAAGAAAAAAACACATCCAAGCCGAGAGCTCCTGTTGTGTTTGCCTCAGATTTCCCGTTTTGGAGTCAAAAAAAAAAGCTGGTCAGGCCACCGAGAGAACTGGCTGAGAACTGGCTGACTGGAGCTGACTGGGGCTGACGGGGGATTGTCGTACTCAGGCGTGAAAGCATCCTGCAATACAAACATGTTGATTTTGGAGGCCATCGCCAGTAGGTTGGAGGCCATCGCTTCTATCTACTGGTCACATGGTGACGAATCCCGATCATTAGGGCGACGCGACATCCCCATGTCTTCGATTTTGGTGCAGCTTTACCATGGAGGCAAAGGATGAGTCGATTCATGAACATCCTCTTTAGATGAGAAGACAAAGGCTATACTATACCGACTATACGGATCGAAAATGTATCCCATGTCAGGACAGCAATCTTCACCACACACGAACCCAGTACTGCCGAACGAAAAGCTGAGTGGCCAACTCAAAGCATCTCATGTATACGACAGGAGACCAAAACTTCAGACGGAATGTCCTAGGGTCCTAGGGTCATGACATGTGTCCAAGCCAGTTCTTGTAGGGGCTGTGGTGCCTGAAACATCACCGTTTCGGGGCAAGGATCGGTCGCAAAACTGTGGAATTCCCGGCTGGGGTCCTTCTTCAGGCATTCCGACTGGAGTCTCTATCAGCACAAGTTGGTCTCTCAACGGTGAACCCTAGGTGATTTTTGTGTGGTTTACCTTCTTCTGCTTCAATGTCCAGTCCATTTTCCTAGATCTCTTCCTTTGTTGTCGAGTCCATCTTCCGGGTGGCGCGGTGAGCGCCCGGATCACCTCTGTGAGCTCCTAGTGGCGCGTGGCGCGTGGCGCGTCACGTCATGGTCGTGGCACCGGCAGTCATGTGGGGCGTTCGTCATGTGGGCCGTCCATGCCGTTCGTCATGTACGGTGTATGTCGTCAGGGGCCAGGAAGATGGGGCGTCTGCAGCGTCATGGTCTCGACCGAGCCCAAAAAACGACCGCTGGTGGTGGCAGGCGCTTTTTCCGGCGCCGGTGCAAACGGTTGATGGTTGGCCCGCCGGTCGATCGTGTCGGAGATGGGAGCATGTCTGGAGATGGGGGTGTATTCATCAACATATCTACATATCTCTATACATGAAGGGGATTGAAGGCGGGCATTGAGGTGAAGGCTTTTGACCCACCTCTCTAGCTTCGTCTAGGCTTCTCGGAAGTCCAGAAAGACTTGGAAACCCGAAGGCGGAAAACGCGGAAGCCCCTCTTGATGATTGTCCCGTATATATATATATATATATCTTCATCGTTCATGTCCTTCATGCTTGATGCACCGTGCGACAAGGAGAAAGTATGTTTGATTCAATTAATTGCCCCACGAATTGCCACAGCAAATTGTATCAATTCAATTCAATTCAAGGATATCCTCTTTGCACAGTGGCTCAACAACACCTGTATGCCCTCCACATTCTCAACGATCAAGCCGGCTGCTTGATTCAATTTCAGCTAACTTCAAAGACTCTTGAGGGTGGAAAACTCCCTTTCTCCTGGACTACTCTTTGCATCTCTTTGTTGACCAAATTGTTCCTTTCAAAGAGATGCAAAGGTCTCCGGTCTCCTCGTTCGGTTGGGAAGGGCCCTGCCACAGATCTCACAACTGACCTGAAACACAGGATGCTGGCCTATTTGGGCGTAGAGTCTATAGTCAAGGAGCTTCCTCTTCCGAAATCGATCGAATTTGGGCCCGGCGAGTTTCCCAGCGCGACTCCCATGTCCTTTCACCAGATGCACAGGATCCTGGATTCCAAAGAGAGGGAAAACCTCAGAGGGAAAACCCCTTTGAACCGTTCTCAACCCGGTGGTGTTTTCTCTCGTTCCCACAGCTCCTGCATGGCGCCCATCTGCCGGTCACAACGACTCACCAGTAAGGCCTGACCGCTAGCGGTCACATGCGACCGCTCGCGGTGTCGGTGAAGGCGCCGGTGTTTTCCCCACCCGGTGGGATTGGTGAAATGCTGCCACCGTTCGATACCTAATTCTGGAACGGACAAATCCAACCAAAACCTATCGAAGAGCGGATGATTGCGGTGGGGAACTGTTTTTAAAATGAACGGCTTGTGGCAGACTATAGCAGGAATGGGCATAGTCAGAAGTAACTTCACATACCAGGACCATCATCAACTTTGTATCTAGCATGATCCAGCATTGATATTACATTTCAAAGGCATATTTTAACGAATCCCAAATCTACTTCAGCTCCAAGCGCATAAGACAAGTGAGAATCACTGGAAGACTTGGGGAGAGCACCCTCCGGTGTCAAAAAAGGCAATGTCTCTTTGATTCTGCCGAAGATCACCCAAGGGCAAACAAGGCCTCTCCAAGGCCTCTCCATGAGGATGCAAGAAGAGTGCAACAGTTGGGACGTGTCTTGATGATCCACCGTTGCAACGATTCAAGAAAAAAAAAGGGTACAATTGTCTTTGCGGGATTTGACCGCCCCAATGACACTGTCAGTAAAAAACCGCCCCAACTGCAGGACAGGCTCGACCAACGAAGCAAAACCCGCCTGCTGCTCTTTGAGATCAGCGATGTCCTGCTTCAGGTCAGCATTGTCCAACGAGAGCTGCTTGTTGCCTCGCCACCCGCCGTGTGCGTCAAGACCAAACACTCCAAAGCCGTATCTATGGTTTCATCTTCCTTGGCCAATGGCACCATGAAGGCCAGATCTATGAATTTCAAGTGGAGCAGTGAATGCGGCCGTATTCCCAGCTTCGGTCTAAACATCCCAACATAGCGAAAAGCTCTGGCAGCACCAAATCCACTTCCCAACTCAGGGGCTTCTTTCTGCGCTGAACTTGCAATGTGATCACATAGACCCGTTGGACCCCAAAATCACTGGGATGGCCATGCTTTGCCCACGTCAGTTCCCCTGACCTACCAGAATGGCAGGTCAATAGTTAGGGAATTTGCATGGGTAAGCTTGCCAAGTCAGTTCGGGTGTCCAATGATTGAGAGCCTGAGAGTCCATCCTACATGGAAACAATTGGAAACACCATCCCAGTTCGTGTCCGGTATAACACCTTGGGTGACTCCCAGCTTGGTCAGCTCAGTGGTTTCTGTGGCTCTTCCAATCTTTCTCCTGTGGATCATGCTGGAGACGCTCCTTGTTGCTTGACCTACCGACATGACTTGCCTCGCGGGCGACGGGCGGACCCAGGTCTTCAGGTTTGGACGTGGCGAACACCCAAAATACGAGCGAGCGCAGCGAGCGAGCTCGCACGTTTGTCGAACACCTTGGAGATCTGGCCCCTGGGCCCCTATTTCATTGGGTCCGGGTTTTGCTCCTGCTCCCCCCCTCTCCCAACAAGTCCACACGGCCCACACCTTTGAGCTTCTTTCCCCCACCAACTCACACCGAAGCCGAAGCTTCCCTCTCCGAGTGGCGGCTTTCGAGACTTTGGAGCTCACCGACCTGCGACGAGGACGAAAGGCCACCGGGCATTGGCTGGTTTGGCACAGCATCTCCTCCGTAAATGCCGAGATGTCTGTGGGTGTCTGTGGAAATGAAAGAGAACGCACGAACACCGCACCACTCACGCAAAAACCCGGAAACACCGGAACATCTCGCATCGCTCGAGCCGCCGGGTGTATGTTTCACCCGCCAAGGCCGGTTGGTCAGGAATTGTTTTGGTTGAGGCCAAAGTTTTTTGTTGCACGAGTAGGGTTTGTTCTAAGAACATTGTTCTAAAGGAACTCTGGCAATTTCAGAAGGCTTGAAGGGGGGTGGACAACGCATGGCATGCAGTTCTCCCAGAAGGGTCATCTACCCCGCCCCACCAGCCCACACTGCGCCCACACCCCGCCGCCGTTGAGAGCAAGTCCTACACCCTGCCTTCATGCTCAGGAGGTCCTGGCATGGTCAGAAAAGCGAAAAACGCGGGATGTGTTCAATGGTTGTTTTCGCTCAAAGGGTCTAAACTACCCTCAGATTTGATTGGATTTGGGATGCTCTTGGCAATCCTTAATTTGGTCTTTTCACCTCCCATTCGTGTGATCCCATGAGGAAAACCCTTCGAAAGCATGGTCAGACTGAAAAAGATGAGAAACACAAACACATCTTGGTTCTCACAATACTTGAAAACAAGAAAGCATGCTATACAGTTCAAGGCATCATTGAAGATGTCAACCGGCCGCACGCGCGACGTACTTAAGCGCCCGGTTACTCTGAGCGCGCCTCCAAGTCACCCACTCGTCGGAAAAGGTCTTGCACGCTTGGAGCCTTGGTAAAAGAGAGTCTCAAGCTGTGCAGCGAAATGTTTCTCAGCCGACGCCATGTGAAGATTGGACTTTGAAACATAGTCCATAAAGATATAGTATGATATAGATTCGATAAATATGAGAAAGGCATGAGGATTGCTCCTCAAATTTGTCACTCTCTTCATTGAAGCGAACCCACAAAGGCCAGCCATTTAAAAGGGAACCAGCTATGGATCGACCCTTTGCTGGGATCCAACTTGCAGTAGAAGACCAATCGGTGCAGTGCGGGCGATGCCTAAGTTGGAGAGTAAGAGATAGCAGGAAACACCTTTCAATATATAACCACTCTAACCACATGGTACACCAATAAAGAGACAACCAAAAAAAAAACAGAAAAGGGTAGCACCACGCGGTAGAAACCAAACCTACCTGGCCAGCATCTCTTTGGAAGCCAAGCCCGGCCGTTTCGGGGCGACCGGACGGCCGGTCCCGTCCTCGCCTCCTCTGAGATCATCTCCTGCTTGGAGGTGGGTGTCCTGAACGACGAAGGGATCCGTGGAGACACACTCTCGGACGAGATCGGACGTGGAGCGAATGATCTTAGGAGACGGAGACGAGCCCGTCCCGTCCCAACCGAGACGAACCAGAAATTCTATGAGCCATCTTTCAATATCTTGGACGACCCTAACAGAAGAAGAACACCTGTTTCAGTCGGTTCCTCACCTTCCCAAATAGGGGCTTCCTTTTGTACCTTGGATCACATGGGACCATGAAAGGGCACCATGCACCACACACATGGCTTGCAGCTGTGATGGCTGTGATGCGAACGCCGATACCGGGAAAACTGGTGGCACATGGTAGCACAGGTCAAGCTTAATGTGGACTTTTGCATGATTTATTTAACAAAAAAAACAACGTTTGGATCAGTAGCAGTAGAAACATGCAAAGCTCCCTCGGGTCGTTTATATGATGGCTTTATTTATCAAGAGTCTACATTGCTTCAGACTATGCTCGAAGGAGACTGAAGGTCCAGTGTGGCCATGGGTGGCCCGTACATGGCATGTACATGGCACGCAGCCAAAAGCTGGGTTTGAGGTTTCGTTTCATCTATGATGTGGTCAATGCTGCATGGTGCCGATCATTCATGCTACGAGATCATTGGAAGCCGCTCTCCACGAACATTCATGAGTGGATTGGATCGTTCTCAGGAAAATCCCTGCGGATCAATCGCTCTGTCCCTTTCAAAAGGTACTGTCGGTTCGCCCATTCCGCTGCTTCCAAGCAGCGCAGGAGTGGTTGTTGGGGCTGCCAACAAGCTCGCCTCAATCAGCCAGGGCTCGGCTTCTTTTTGGAACCAGTGGTCCTGTACACGGGATCTACCAGAAGCTCCTAAAAGCAAACAGGCTTGGTGGAAGTAACATGACCCCAAGCTGTGAAAAGTGGACATCTTTTTGGAAGGTGTCCAAGGTGACACCTAGCCTAGCCTTGGCAACTGGCAAAAGCTCTTAGGGTGACAGTAGAACGCATCCCTCCATGGGCTTCTTTACGTCGATGGTCGGTTTGCCCAGTGGGGCATGGATTTGTATCTCCTCTTTCGTTCACAGTTCTTTTCAAGTTGGGGCTGTTCAGCAAGGCTTGACCCACAGCCACATCTGTCGCACCAACCACAGCTATTTCTGGACTTCTCACGGACAAAAACACAACCATACAGTGGTGACAAAGCTGCGTTACATCTCACAAGACCTTTCAAAGGGTTTTCAGGCAAGCCACTCCCGAAGTGCCTTTGAGGCTTTTTGGATCTGTTTTAGATAATCCCGGGGAGCAGAAAAGAAAAGAAACTAAACCACCGCTTGTCAGGACGTCTCTGACTCAGCCAGGCGGCGCAGGACGTCTCGTGCATCTTCATATCCTCAGAGACCGAAACTCGGCATCTTCGAGTCGGTCTCCACGTGACTTCATTGGCATTTTCACGGTGCAAACATTTCATTGCACGCCTGGTATTCTCGAGAGAATTCGGAGTTTTGCGCGAATTCGTGAATTAGGTGTGAGGATGGTAGTCGGGTACGGTGCAAGCAAACATGTTGAGAACAGGGGTGGAAACTCTGCCCTGTGACACAAGGTCGTGGACGTCTCTCAAGGTGTCCAAAGACCCAGAACTTGAAATTAGCCTCACCAACTCCCATGGCCCTCTTGGTTGGCCAAATGTTGACACTTGCTTCGCCATCCCATTGGCCGTTGAGAAAACGAACTTGAACCGGTTCGATGCGCGACCCATCCCTGATTATTGTCTGCACGGTTGGGCTGTAATACTATCTGATTGACATCTCCTGCAATAATGTCTATGGTTGTCATTGTTAATTAAATATTTACTGTATACAGTTTGATTCTGTATTTTTCACACTAATAGGATCTAAGTATTGTTTATGGTTTGAACAAGCAAAAAAAGCGCAACAATTAAGTCCACAACAAATGAAGTTTATGTTCATCACTGTCCAAAAGGGCCAGAAGGATTGTGGCATCCACTCAGTTTAATCTACAGTTTAACCTCTTGTGAATGTTGATCTACAGTTTAATCTTTTAGGTTCTGTCACCCACCTATTTCTTCCAGCCATTCCCTCTTCTTCCCAAGGATCTCTCGAGCTTCCAGCCCTGGGAGAGGCCTGCAACAACGTGAAGCAAAGGCATTCATAGTCCCCCAATCGGCGCTGGCAGAACATTCAGATTAACAGCACCTCCAAAATCGGGATCACCTGGATCGAAAGCCCCCAAAAAGAACGGATCTCCAGCCCGCCAAACGGACACCCTTTACAAGGTTCAGGTACACCGTCAGTCTATATATATACATAACTCACGGTTGTTTCATAGTGAGTTTCCAGGATCCCCAAGGGGATTGGACACCTCCCTTGACATCTCCTGAGTTCAAGAATGGACGCCGCAAACATCTCCCCAAAAATGCCAAGACCTTCCCAGATTCTGTAGACCCTTCCCGGGTGCTGCCGAACCCGGTGCGACGCGTCGGTCGATCCGTGAAGGGTTCACGGCTCGACTGGCATCGGGTGGCATCGGTTGGCTGGTGGTTGGCCGATCCCCATCCCATTTCATCTGATGGGTTCTGTCTATCTATATCTGCCCCTCCAAGTCTGGGAATCTAGCTGCCTGGTGCCTGGCACTGGCCTTGGAAACAGCAAACAACACACCGACTTCGGCCACGTGAAACTTGAGACGCCCTCGAACACCGTTTGGAAGAAGGATGGGGGAGGGTCATTACCATGTTTTACCCTAGTGACAGCGCATGAAGTAGCGATTGCTTTCTCCCAAGCAGAACATAGCAGACCCGCAACATCAAATACCATCACCTGCTGCTAAAGCTCATTTCTCTTTCTTTCAGGTTGCCAGACCACATGGGCTCGCTGGCTGGCCGGCCTCCATGTTGGTGGAGCCCGACTGGACATGGATCACCTCTGCTTCCTCCCCCAGGATCTCCTGAAGAATCATGAAAACCATTGGAGTTGAAGAAGACTGAGTCGAATTCCCAGAAAATTCAGGACATGTATACCATTTCTTGGGATTATAAATCATCTCAGAATAGAGTTTATAGTGGGAAAAGCTATGTATGGTTCTCTTTCGAAAGCCGAAAGAACTGTGTCTTCTAATGCCAGGACCCAAATTGACGTCCCAAGCGACGGCAACGACCGAAGCAGTTGTCTAGTCTAGAATACATCTGAATCTTGTATGATCTTAAATGCTTTTAATATCTAATTTAGTTACCCAAGGCCGGATGCTTGCAGAGAATTTTGGGATTGGTTTGGAGGGCCTGAGAAGGTACTTGGAGCCCCAGGGTTAATGTCTGATCCTGATGTGTCGTTGATGTTTCGTGAGACACTTGAACATACCCCCCTATATACAATGAGAGTGTTAACTCAACAATCACCCATTCTCTGACGCATCTCCCATGCAAAGTTGCCAAAAAGAGTTCCAGTCACTCCCCAAAGAGGGGACCATACCAGACCATGATCGACGACAGTCCCAACGAGAGATTATATAAATTATCATACCCAACTAAATCATGTCCCAACAACAGTCCCAACGACAGTCCAATGATTGACAAAGAGGGGAACATGAATGCATCGCTGTTTTCATGACAACTTTGTGGGACATGCATCAATGGACGTTGGTTTCGTGGTTCTTGGTGGGATCCCCAGAGCCGCACCCGTGACGGAGGACACGGCACCTCCGTGTGCTTCTCTTCGGGAACGCCCAGAAGCTCCTGTGGGCCAACCCAGCCGGCGCCGTTGGGCGCTGGTAGCAGAGCGGTGGAGGGGGGGGGGTTGGGATTTGGATGGTCTTGGATGGTTCTCGGGGGTTGGGTCGTTAAGCATCAAACCATGTGGAAGAAGAACACACCTCACTGCACATGGTTGTCGCTGTGTTTCTTTACATAACACTGCCAATAATGCCAGTTTGCACGGACGAATTATACTGAAGTCAGAAATTCCCAGCTTTCAGGTTTTGAGTTTGTCTCACCGTTCCAAATGGAACGTCCGTTCCCCCTTTCCTCGTCGGACGAAGTGATGGCTTTTGCCAAGCCTAGAGGAGCAAAAGGAATGAATAAAGGAGAGGTCAATGATCTACGACTTCCACTTCCTTCCACCGTCCAATTCAACCAACATCAAACTTCCAACAAATTTGGGACCGTTTGTTCGCCACATTACTCTGATCATTTGGTAGAATTGATCAGAGTGCCGCCCATGTCCCAAAATCAGCAAGCCACAAAATTGACACAAAAACGGTCTACTGGGGGGTCTTGTTACTGTGAAAAACATCTCAAAGACCGCCGTCCTTCTTCCATGTCGGCAGTTCTAAGCTTCGCTGGTCTTTCAAGGCCTGCGCTGCCAGGAGCTCTTTAGAATTGAAATCAAGGAAGATCTAAGATCATCACAATACCAATATGTACCAATACGGTTGATCCAGAGGCTCTGGGCGGAAAGCCTACTGCGCAACTGGTCGCTTCTCTCTCATTCAAGGGAGTGGTTCATGTCTGGTCTCAAGTTTGCCTTGTAAAGTCGAGGGGGGACCCCATTCTTTTGATCAATGAAGTTGTGTCCAAGGTCTCTGCAAGCCTCGGAAAGGTCTAGACACCAAAAAATTGCAGAAGAACAAAAGAAGGGTTTTAGAAACGGGACATGACGGCTGCTTTTGCATGGAGACGGCAGGTGGATCGGGGAACGCAGAGGGGGACGTTCCAGGGGATCGGAGGCGAGGCTTAAAGCTCTCTGCTAGGATGCATGATGGAGCTTCAGATTGTGCTGCTCTGCATCACTTGCTAGTCCCTACGAGCTGTTTGGACCATCTGGTCACCTTTACGGCCAGTTGGAGGCCGATGGCCTCAGCCCCGACGGCCTCTTCCACCCGCCTTGCCGATGGCCGCTGGCGTGAAGAAACGCTCCAGAATGTTGCGGTCCCGATGAGTGTCGAAGACCACGCCGATGTCCTAGCGCCGCTGAGGTTCGGGCGCTCAGCGGGAGAAAGGCGCTTTGGTGAGTCCAGAAAGCGGGTTGTTCTGCCCGCTGAGGTTCGTGGCTGTCTCTTTTTGAAGACGGCTGATAGCGGCTTGATAGCACAAACAACTTTGATTGTCAAGAGAACCTTCACAAATCGGCGGTTGCCACTAAGCCCGCGCTCCCTCACGGAAATGGGGCAGCACAAGCGAAGATGAATGAAAATGGTCTAAAGCATTGAATGCTTTGGAAGCAGACCAAGATACTGGGATCTCAACTTGAAGGACCAGAGTTCCACATGGTCATGGGAAAGTACAAAAAATGTATCATGTATCAATAAATTATCAATAACATTCTGATCAGTAGATCAAAGCATGTGGGGAACCCAGTGGAAAAACGGTCTCTAAACCGGTTTCGGCCAGGTCAGGTGAACTTGAGGGTTTATCTCCGCATGAGCCCAACCGAAATCATATGTAATCATCTAATTTAATGTCTGTAGATTCTCCAATCAAACTACATATCCCAATCTTCTCAACCATTGGGATTCAACCCATTCCTACAACCCTCCTTTCTTTGCCTACGTCATCCCACCATCTTCCCATCCTGCACGGTGATGGGGTCACGGAACGAGCTACTCAAAGCGAAGCGCCCTGCATCCTCAGGGAACCGCGGTGTTCCCGCCGCGCGCGCCGTGCCTCAAGGACGGTTAGAGTAAGAAGGATGTAAGAAGGATGGTTAAGGGGTGTCCGACCCCCCAAAACCACCGGATCTTGGTTTTGGTCCTGGTAGGCTTCGGGGCCATCTTTTGAGAATTCAGGAGTCTTTGAGCATAGCATCAATCCTCCGGTCATGCATTCAGTCCTTTCCTACAAGTGCATCCGCTCGCCATCCCTTGGCCCTCGAGCGTTGTCGGCCACGTGCCACATCGGTCGACGCTTCGTGTTGTCGATGCGGTGGTCGCTGTTTTCAGCGGAGATATACAGGCAGCGCAATTCTGGGCGAGTACGTTACTGTCTTAAGATTTTCGCGATAGATTGGTTTGCACTTTCACCATGAAAATGGCTGCATTTATGTTGCGGTTTCCAGTTTTCAGGTCTTGTGTGGTATTTACAGTACATTAGGATGTAAAAAAGACCGGTGCAAAGCCTCTTCCTTCGGATTGCTTGCTAATTATGTTTGCAAGTTTTTGCATATGTTTGCAATCAAATGTTATTGCAGCTGCGTCATCATCGGCACCAGTTGTCATCGATCTGTTCATTGGGTCGTCATGTTCGCCGTTCACCCAGGACGCCTCGTCCGGCGCGTCCTAATTCGTCCACCAGGAATTTCATGCCAAGGAGCTACACGTGGCTCCCCGTGCTCCTACCAAGCGAAGGTGCACAAGATTCGAGCTGGTGGTCACAGTGTCAGATACACCCAAAAAATGCACAAGGTGTACTGTAAAATACACAAGCTGTGTTGTCTTGAGACGGTGCATGCAAACACACACACGTCCTGTCACAATAACTCCCCGGCAACAAAAGAACAGCCAACCAGCAGCTGTTTTTGTTTGGTCGTCTTACTAATCTTGCAAAAGCCTTGACTTAGGTTGTCTTTGTGTGGCCCTTCAGTTTCATCTGTGCCCCACCCAACCCGCGGCGTGTGAAGATCGATTCAGCATTCCCCAAAACAGCTGTCTCTACCCAAAACCTAGAGTGTAAAAGAACCAACAAGCTCACTCACTCCCACTGTCTCACTCCCCAGAAACTCCAGGATGGTAGAGGGGCATTCTCCAAAATACACCATGAAGCTGCTCTAGGCCTGGCCACTTTCTGAGGGATACAATCAAAGGGCTCAAGTAGTCGTCGAAAAAGGGGGGGAACTGTCCGGCTTGGCGGCTGAGTTCGAGTTCTGCAACGCTTTTGGCCACCGCAAATGAGAGAAAAAAGAATAACCATCTTTTCTGGATGAGGGAAACGATCTCGATCAATTTGAACAAGCTGGTTGGTCAATTTGATCAAATCGCCACCAGAAAGGTTTCAGCCGGCTGAAGCCCAAATCAAGAAGCGTGAGCGAAAAAACGATCTTCAGATCGGACCCAACTTGGCCCAACCAACATCCATGAATCCATGCAAGTTGCTGTCATCTCCCACAACACAAGCATTCATAGCAGGACCTTCCGAGGTTGCATAAGTTGTACAGTAGGGTAGTCGATTGGAGACCCTTGGTCAATCCAGCATTTGTATTAACGCTCTTTGTGAACATAAAAGAGAATGTCACCAACACCACTCTCCTCCTCATTGTTCCACAAGGACTTGCGGGGATTTGCGTCAGCGCTCCGCCTGAACAAAACACGTGCCGTCGGTTTGCCGGCGGTGCCATGCGGTGCAGACCATCTGGTGCCATGAAATGCGCGGGCGAGAACGATGCTCTTCTCCAGCAAAATGGGTGTGTCTTTTGAATTGCGGGACCCCTTTCTCGCCCCTTTCTCGCTGGGTAGACTGGTCTATTTGAGTCTGTTCCTATACTTTAATGCAATAAAGTATGACCAGCATTAAAGTATAATTACTGCGTTAAAGTATACAGTATGACCTAACTGTTCCTATACGGTTATACCGTACTCACCAGCATGTCGCGGCCATGGCCGGTTGCCGAACGGAAGTCGGGGTGCCAGGTGCTGAACATCAGTGGATGTGCCCCGGCCTCTCTTCTCTGATCATCGACCAGGTTCGATCTATCTATCGTCCAGTATCTGGCGGAATATCCCATCCGATGGAATCCCAATTCCATACAAAGCTTTCGTGAAAAGCCCAATGATAGAAAGAGTTCATTCACTGCGGTCATGAAACAATGGACTCGCTTGATGGGTCATCCCAATTGGGTTTACCTCGTCTTTTGACCGTTCCTTATGACTCATACCGTGAGCCTTCGCCTTCGCCTTCCGAGCGGTCCGATCCACCGCATGGTCGAAATCGGACGGTCGGTGCTTCTGTTCGTTCTCAGAAGAGACTCACTTGGCATTCTCACGAGAATAGTAGACAAGGCATGAATAACACTTAGATCTTGTAAGTCATGCCTACTAAACCGACAGTGGCTTTCCAGCTTTCCGGCCGGCCCAATGAAACGTTTCATCACACAAGCCGATGTTCGGCCCAAATGCCTCGGTCCGTTGGGATATCGCGGATCTTTCTCCTCGGGACGCGGACTTGGCTCACGATGCGATGGAACCACTCGTTGCGATGGATTTGTTGAGCTCCCCGAAAACGATCGAAAACGCTCCTCCATTTCTCTTTGTTCTGCCCGTGGGGCGTAGCGCGTAGCGTGTAGCGCCACGGCTGAGGGCGCGGCGAAGACGAAGTTGGTCAAGCGGTCGAGGTCTTTGTCGGCCAAGTGCTGTCGGGAGGTGAACAAGACCTCCTTCAAGCCTGTTCTGTCGCGATTTGGTGGCCACATCAACGAAAACACCATGAAACGGGTCAATATATTGGGCTGGAAGATTGGACTGAGCCAAACGAAAGGGTGGTGCATTAAATACTTTGACCTGCTCCATGTTGGGGTGGCAGGATAGGGCTTCCGACCTTCGGACTGAGACCGACATGGAACTCCGGTTGGAGTGGGAAGGTGAATGCAGGACCTGGAGACAAAGGTCCCAAGGATTGGTGAAGATCAGAGTGGTGCCGCCCTCAAAGTGCGGTTGGCCGTTTGCGGGGTTTTCTGTCCGGAAGCAATGGGACCATCAAAGCCAGGCCTGTCCTTCCTTTTTAGGTGGAGGCCATTGCTTCAAGGTTGGAGGCCATCGCAAGTAGGTTGGAGGCCATCGCTACTAGGAGCAAGAAGCTACTACTTACTAACATTGACATCGCATGGGATCTTTGCGAACTGGAAACAGGACACATCATGCGCGGTTGCTGCGCGCAGCACACCTTGCCAAAAGGACCCTGCTTTGGAGCTGCAGCCCTCACAGCTGAGGAAGGTGTAGCTACTCCGGTTCGAATATCGAAGGCGAATTTCCCGGGTGAGTGCCACCTGTGAAAACTCCTTGGAAAACCGGATGGTGACCTGTGACCACTGCGATGTTGGGCCTAACAGGCTGAACATGGACCGAGAATTTGTTGCACTCTTCTGCAACGCACAGCTCTGAAAGCAACGCGAAGCGCGGTGCAGGCGTTCTGGCTTGTTCAGCACGCGGCTCTTCGTGTGCAAAACTCATTTCGCAATGTGAAATCGCGGAGAGGAGAACTCCACATGGTGTGTTTTACTTGCATGCGCCAAATATGAATATCTGCTGGTATCCAAAAAAAAGGCGTTCGCAGGCTTCCGGGCTTGTTGGCGAACTCTTTCGCGACCATCCATGTGTTTAGAATTGTGTTTCGCGTCCAGGACGCGAAGGCACCTTCCGTTTCGATCGCTTCATGTTTGCATCCGGTGCCAGGTGGCAGTTGCGGAGCTCCTCCTTGGTGAGTGTGCTACTGGCCAAACTCCCAAAGGTGGCCACATTGGCCTCAGCGATGGCGCTGGGAGGCCCAGCACCACGTCGTCGTTTCGTTTCGTCACAGGATGCCTGTCATCTCGGATGACCTTCAAAAGCGGCATTCTAGAATGAACATACTATAGGCTCTCCCCAAGAAACTCTTCATGAAGACTCACACTCAACGTGTTTTCCTGGATATCGGAGGAGCAAATGAGTTCACCCTTGCGTTGGAGGGAATCCATCCAGAGACAGCAAACGGTATGTTGAAATGTTCCAAAACGATCCCGGTCTGTGTCCATCCGAAACGCTTCCACCCATACTAACCCGAATCTAGAAACAAATCCCAAAGCCGGGCCAGGGTCGCTGTTACATTGTGGCAAGGAGTGGAGCTATGTAAAAAAAGAAGTGAACCAATTAGCAGCTCAGTACAGCTCAAAACAGGCTTAGCATCGCATCGCTGGCAACCGAGTGGCAATGGCCTTCAGCCCCGCGGTGGCCAACTGCATGGGGAGGTCGAAGTACTGCGGAGGAGTGGTGACCACCGCTTCTCCCGCCGTCCCAGGTGTCGATCGCACCCAAAGAAGGCCAGGCATGAAGACTGAAGGAAGAAGAAAGTCTTCAACTCCCAAACCATCTATTAGGACTGGAAGACTTACCACCGAATTCACCCGAAAAAAACCACCTGTCATCACAGCCAGCCACCCGACATATGCTCAAAAACACATCAGCTCCAGGCCCAGAGCACCCTCCGCGGCCCGGGAGGCCCTCCGGCTTCTCCGTCTCGCTCTCACCGCCTCTTGAGTGGCTTGGCGATAGATCTTCGACAAGGAGCCCAGCATGATTCGTGCCACGAAGCCCGCAAAGGCCGGAGGGATCCCCATCAACACCTGGCAACGGTATGGTTGGGGGCACCAGCCGCGACGACGAACTGGGGCCACCATGTGAAGCAGGGGTTCCAAGCGTTTCGGTTTTCACTGAGCGCGAGTCCGTTCGGTTGTCATGTGTCATCGTCAATTCTGTCATGTAGACATCGTTTTTTTGGTTGCAAAGCATGACAGGTTTGAAAACGATCCCGTTCATATTCTCCGCCCGTCCAAGTGGCCATCAAGCTGACCAAGTTCCTCAGTACCATCGCTATGCAAACATGTGCAACATGCAACATGCCTGTTAACCATCATGAAGAACCATCATGGCTCCCCACTTTTGCGGGATCCAATTGGGGCTCCAATTTAGAACCTTTTGCAGGTATTGCCAGTTTCAGCTTACATACAACTCTGAAGGTTTAGGAAGAACTTCATTCAAACATTCAATGCCTAAGCAAAAACCATACCCATCGTGCCTCCGCGGAGGATGTGTAGTCTTGCTCAGAGACGAACTGTTTGGATGCTGAAGGACTAAACAGGTTAGACTTGCAAACATGCATATATAAATGTATACCACAGTCCCCTAATTTGGAGTGGAATAGTTGCATATATCTACTCCATTTATGTTCCTATATAATGTAAGCAACTTGTCCATACCTGGAGTCTTGGGGATAATACTTCATCCAGCAGTCACTTTGCTAGCACATCACTCCCCAGAACGTGCAAATGTTGACGTCCTGCAACAAGCATCAGCAAGGTGAGCTGGATGGAAGGAAGTCGGCTGAAGCTCGAGCCCTGTTGTGCTAGAACTCCTCAGCCACACGCAAACAAGCTCTGAAAACACCTGGAGAGTGAAAATGAGGACGGCAACCAACACTGTCCCGATCCAAACGAACTCATCTAACACTCTGACTCACTAACATGAAGTGGATGGCATGGGCAACATTTTCTCTACAAACAGGTGATTTTCCATTTCAATGTTAGTGAGTCAGAGTGCAACACTCCCGCAAACTCACATACCACCTACCTACCAGCACTCTCCCTGCCAGGTATCCAAAATGTTTGGAGACTTAAAAGTGGCAGGTGGTGACCTGTTGGAAGGTGCTGGTACCTGGTAGACGACGAAAAGCATAAAAACATCACCAAAAAAAAAACACAATGCAAACACGTACCTGAAAACAAACACCCAACCAATTTTTGAAACTCTTGTAGGAGACACTTTTGTGGAACACTCTTTTAGGATACATTCTTTCGGAAACCTTTGTGGGACACTCTTGTGCACTCTTGTGGGACACCTTGTATGACACTGACTCTTGTGGGACACTCTTGTGGAACACTCTCATAGGCCACTCTTGTGGGACATCCTTGCAGGACTCTCTTGTGGGACGCTCTTGGGGCACACTCTTGTGAGACACTCTTGTTTGTCACTCTTGTGGGACACGCTTGTATGACACTCACTCTTGCGCGGCACTCTTGCGGAACACTCTTGTAGGACACACTTGTGGGACACTCTTGTGTGTCGCTCTTGTGAGACACTCTCGTAGGACACTCTTGTGGGGCACTCTAGCGGAACACTCTAGCGGAACACTCTGTAGGACACACTCTGTAGGACACACTCTGTAGGACTCTCTTGTGAGACACTCTTGTGGAACACACTCTTGCAGGACATTTTTTGTGAATTTGTGGGGACTCCCTTGGATTGAAACTCTTGTAGGACGCTCTTGTCGGGGAAAAAGCATCGTTCCGGGGCCCAATCTCCACCCACTGAGCGAACAAGCCGCAGCCCTTTGGACCAACCGTGTGGCCCCGTCTTTCGACCGACACAAACAAAACGGCTGCGGAAACGGCGAACGGTGTATGTGCTTTATAAGGGAATATGTTGGTTTTGCTTTGGGGGTGGCTTGAGTCTTCTGTAATTAAAGGAGTTTTAGTTGATTGTTAATTTAAAGTGTGTGTTGAAATGTCCTTTTGAATGTCCGTTTAAAGTGTTCTCTCTTTAAATGTTCTGCTGAATGTCCTTTATTTTAATTGGTATGCTGAATTTATTTCCTTTCGAATTTTGGTTTAGCTGTCCATTGACACTTCTTTTGACATGTTCTTTTTAAAACCGTTATTTTGACATGTCCTTTTAAACGTCCTTTGTCCTTTCCAATGTCTAAATTTTTCTCGTAACAATCCTTTTCATTTTCCTTCTAAGTTTCATGCTTCTTGGTTTCTACATTGTCCTTAGATATGTCCTTTTAAATCTTCTTTAGAATCTCCTTTTAAATCCTTTGAGGTTCTTTTTTTAATTCCCTTGAAATGTTCCTTTAGTTGTCCTTTTCATTGGCCTCTTTCCTGCTTATTTTTCAATATTGTCCTTAGCCACAGAAGCCCTCGTCCTTTCCTTTCCTTTCCTTTTTTTCCCTTCCCTTCCGTCTGTCCGTCCATCCGACAGCTAAAAGAAACAAGTATATCAAAACAAATATAGTTATTTACCACTAAAATATACCCCCCCAAACAAAACGATTCTGGGAAGAAATGGGTGATTTGGTCAACTTCTTCTCTTCTCTACACTGGTTACCAAGATTGTGGAAAACAACTATATATATATATACTAGGTTCAGATGAGATAGGGCATGATAGGACTGGTGGTTGATGACATACAGTTTACAAGTCCCATCTCATTTAGACACAGTGTATATATACCTAGAACCTGAATGACCTCTATTTTGGATCACCAACCACCAAAAATAAGGTCTTTTCCTTTCAAAACGGAGGTCAAATGGGCTCTAGGTATATATATATATATAAATAGCTCGAACCACCTTCCCATCTCCCTGCCCAGGACGCTGCGCTCATCTGCGCACGGCCGGGGGACGGATGTGCACGCTGCGGGTGAAGCCAGCGTTGTAGGTCACCGACCTGTGGCTTTGCTGCGAAAATGGAGGGAGAGAACATGCTAAGCAGCTCGCTTTGCGTTGAGTGGAATGAGGTGTCCAAGTAGAGGCTAGACAAAGGAACGTCAACCAGGTGTTGCAATTTTGTTTTTTGTGTGTGCAGTTGGTGATCTGGTGGCAAAATAGGGCAAATGCTGAATGCTCAACGCGTTTGTCACCCGAAAAGCTGTCAAAGTTTGACAAAGCAACGACTGGGTTCTTCGATCTTCGGTTATTCCGAAGTGTGATCCTCAGGATCGAAGGCTCTAAGGATCGAAGAAAGATAAGACAGACAACATCACACAACACTAGGACGAATGGGACTGGAATCTATGCCTAGAAGTGGACCACTTGAGTCTCAACTATACTTGAAATGTAGGTTGATATATGCCAGTCCAGAGTCCAGACAGGTGTGTCAGTGTCAGGGAATGGACTCCAGGATTCGCAGAAGGATCTTAGTAGGAAGAGACCGCAAAGACCTCTCAGCATCGAAATCCCCTCCGCTGTGATGCTGCGATCCAACCTTTCTGGAGATCCTCCACCAGGGACTGTTTCGATCTCCAAAGAATTCCCGGGTTCTCTCTCAACACATAGCTGTCCATGCTGTGCTCAGATTTGCTTGGACAACAACTCTTTGGGTATATAGTTTCTATATACATTTATAGTTATTTACAGTAAGTAGAAAGTAGATGTAAGTAGGGTGTTGACAACAAAACGAGAGGTAATGTCCCAATGATATGCTATTCCGATCCATCCCCATTCAACACCCAGTTCTTGTTGGATGATTCAATTTGCCAATGGGAAGCACTCGCCAAAAAGGCCAGCACCTCCGTCACCTCCGTCTCGCCCAGTGACTGGTCTTGCAGCCAGGTGAACCGAATCAAACAAAGCCTTAGGGACTCTCCCGAGCGAACGGCAAGAGTTCTGCGACAGGAATGTCTCAGATGGACCAAATGGGGAGCAGAACTAGGTCCGCTGCTGAACTCGGTTCGAAGACACGGGATATTTGCACTCAAAGAGGACATCCAAACCCATCAACAGAATGACAAAGCCGTTCAAATGTAACAGATTTCTCCTCAGGGCGTTAGGAAGAGTGTGAAATCGTTATATACCAGGTCTTCAAGGCAGAGCAAGAATCTGAGTGCCAGGGGCATCTTTCCCAGCTCACTGATGCCAGTCTATCGTGTCAGAATCATGGTATGCCCATGTGAAAGTGTGACAGACTTTGAGGAACAGTACAAGATTTGTAGCATATTTGCATGCACAGTTGTTCCCCAACAAGTTCTGACCATGGGCATATGCTTTGATGTCTCAGTGTCACACAAGAGGCATGTCATCACAGGATCGGACAGGAGTCATGCTCACATCTTTAAATTCCCACTCACACCCACAGGGTCTTCGACACGTCTAGAGTGTAGGTGACGCTGGCTCCACAGGTCTCTATCTGGGTCACAAGTTTCAGGTCTGCTGTTCTCCTTGCTTCCAGACACGTCGGAAGGACCTACAAAGAGTCTGTACCTACAGTGTGTGTGTGTGTGTCTCTTCTTTTCGCAGTTAAGCCTCTGAAAAGAAGTCCATATACCAGTCAGTTCCGTATCCACTGAAGCACTCATTGGCTTCACCTGTGATTCTTTACCCTGTTCAGGACCGCCGAAACTCCAGGGCGTAGTTGGACGCTGTTGGATCCTCCGGCAGCGTATTTTATGAATGCTCTGCCAGACAACCCACCCCTTTTGAAGGATCCAGGGCTCCCAAACACACCAGAGATCAAAGGCCGAAGCCGGATCAAAACAAGACGGGGCTCATCTGCGCAAGAGTAGTGATGTAGGATGTTGATGAATGAAAGCCCGCATATGGGGATGTAGAAGCTTCCAGACTAGGGGTGGGGTTCTTCAATAAGTCTATCTCTCTAAAGGGACAGTCAACAGGACCAGGACCTTGTTCAGAAAGAACCAGGGCTTTGTCTGGAAGCTGCTTGTTGGATCGAGGACAGCCATCGTGCATGGATCATATCATATCATCATGTCTTGCATGGATCATAATGTTAAGGAAATTCAATGTCTATACACATGACTTGGAGTCTATACTCTTCATGCCTCATGGCCTTGGCTGGCGCCAGCGCCCAAACTGAAACACCACACCGGCCACCACGATGTGGCCGCAGCTCCCGCCGCCGTTTCTTCCGGGGTGCGGTTGGTCGTCCCGGGGAATCGTCTGCGGCACATTCGCCCAGTACAAGGTGGGTGGCAAGTCTTCTGGGCCGCACACCCCGCGACGGCACGGTCCGGACCGAGATCCGGACGGGACAGGTGACCGGGACCGGGACCGAGATCGTGGGGGAACGCAGGTGCGGAAGAAAAAGAAGGCGGGTCAGAATATATGCGGGTCTGCGTCCGGAGGAAAAGTGATGGAAAAGGAGATGGTATAGATCATAGATGAGCTATCTGCCAAAAGGTCTAGCAACGAAGAGGACACCGGCCGCGTTTCCAAAACTGGTCATCGCGCCGACATGGGGGCGTTTCGGTGGATCTGCTTTCGCCGGCGAGACCTTTCTGATGTGGCATGACTTGCGAACCCTAGAGTGATTGCCCCAGAACCCCTCAGAGTACCGAGCGGATGCTTCGGGAACCCAATCCTTCGGATGTTGGCCGCTTTTCCTGATGGGACGAGGCTGTGGGTGTGAAGAATGTGAAGAGATATTGGGATATATATATATTATACTTACTGCCTTAGGGACTGGCAAGAGATCGAACAGAAACGCATCCTGGCGTAGCCCCGACCCATCCGAGGCCGGGTTTCGCTGGATTAGCTTCCTAGAACCTGATAGGACCTCTATTTGGGATCGCCAACCACCCAAACATCTGGTCTTTCCCTATCAAGGGGGTCATGGAATTGGGTTCTAGGTCATCATAATAAGCTATCATATGCCAAACAAAATCCCATCTCCTCTCGAACCTGGCCACTTGAACCTTTTTTCACCTGGGTCCCAGCTTTTGGTCTTGACATGTCTTCACCCAAATGTGAAAAATGCTCCTGAAATGTTTACTTTTGACGATTTGAATCTGACCCATGCCGAAGGTATCCGAAGATCATCGACATGCTCGGATCTACTGGAATTCCGTTTAAAGGGTCGAAGCGACCGTCGAAGACTTTTTCTTTACATCTGGGGTCACCAGGAACTTGAAGAACTTGCCATGCAACTGACATTCCGGTGATTGGTGGTTGCAAAGACATAGGATCCCGCAAATGGCGAAATGGGAATAGGTGAGTTGACAAATTGAAACAGTTTCCCCAGCGAAAACGCGGGCCCCAGCGCAGACCGCAGCTTCCAAAGAATGTCCTTTTGTCTTCCGGGTCAGTGCACATGTTAGCTTGGCAGTGGAATCCAGTTCACCATGCAGTGTATATAAGAATTCTGCACACCGTGGGATCTGCCTAGACCCACCTTGCCATCTCACCAAATGCCGGACCGACAGCGTTGGGTCATGGTCGGTGGCCTTGAAAGAAATCCGCTCCTCCCTCGCAACTCGCCTTCTCAATCTTCTCCCACCTGATCATCCAAACTCTCCCGAACCCGTCGCTCCCGGACCGGCCCGGACCCCCCGTCAAAGCCGTCGGGTCGTCCCAAGGCACGGCTGGCGGTGAAGCAATTCGTGGTCACGATGAATTCGGAGCCTCGAGTAGAGCCGTGGTCGACGGGTGGAGGGCCTCTGCGTCACTGGAGAGAAAGGCGGATGGAGGTCCAATATAGTCCAAAATACTGTATAGATTACAATCCATAAACGAGTTCTATAGTCAAAATTGCAAAACCACCATCCAGCATTGTTCTCATTGGATCAGTGTACAAGTACCAAAAAAGAATGCATAATATAACTCTGTGACTCTCTGCAGGACTGTAGGACATGGTCTTACAAGAATGTAATTAGTGAAGAGCATCCGCACGAATGATGTTGTTTGATTTTGAGTTTCATATGTCCTTCATCAGTGGCTGGCCAGGCTGGGTGATCGCAGCTTCGCCCAACCGTGATTGCCGGTCTGCAGCGAGTGATGCAGTCATCCCATGTCGATTTGGATGAGAACATCGCATCTCGTGCGGCGAAACCAAACGGTCCGTTCCCCGTCTTGCCGTCTGAAGGATTCACAGCATCTCAGCATCTGAAGTCGTCCCGACATGGAGACACATTTCCCAGCTGCTGAGCGAAGGAAGTCGAAAAAAAAAAAAAACAACAGAAAACCTCCTTCAAATGTGTTGCAACCACCCATCGGAACGGAAAAGACGCAGTTTTCATGTGAAAGAAAAGGTCACCGTGGTTCTGCAGGAGACCCACCAAGTGCACCCAAATGGCTGAAGATGAAGACCTATCGAGCGCCCCACATTGAGAACAAACCCGCATTGCGAGCACTTGGTGCAAAATGAGATGCTCCACCCAAACAATTCCACCTCCCCTTTTCCCGCAAGGCCTTGTGAAATCATTGTGAAATTCCAAACAGCTCCGGCAGCCTGCGAAGCGGAAATTCAGTGTCCAAAGGCTCCAACTTAAGGACGAACAGTGTGGCGGCTTCAAGATGAAACGTCGGTATCGATGATATATGTTTGTTCCTAGGCGTCCCAAGAAGCCCTTATGGCACCCAAAGCCTGATTGGAATGGCATATACTGGGTCTGCATGATGTTCATGCACATTAAAAGGTATGCACGATATATTTTGGCAAACATGATGCGCAGCATGAATGGAACAATGAAAGGAGCTGAATCAAATGGTCATCAAATCAAATGGTCATCAACTGCATGACTCAGGCTGGGCAGTGGAGCTGCACTGCGAAGGTGCAGCGTTTTGTGCAATCCGCAGTTCTCGTCACCGTGAGATTGGGATTGGATTTTAGAGGGTGGTGTTTTTGAGGTGTTAGATGTGGCTGTGACATTGGGATTTACGTTTGAAGATGTTGCTTCGAAGCTGTGTTTTCGTGAAAATCTTCAGCTCAAATTGCGATTTGGTGGATGGGAGTGCCCAGAACGTGTCGAAATCATTCCAAACGTGTGGTGCGGTGCACATTTTGCTGAGGACATGAAGCTGTCACATCGTCACTTTTCGTGGCAGGCGCACCACTGTGTGCATGTTGGATGTATCGAAGTTGAACTTTCGTTGCAGGCGCAGGGAATCGCGAGGTTGCGATTTGGTAAAGGTGAATGTCGCTGTGACATTGGGATTGGTGTGTCCGTGGGTGTGGTTTTGAAGGGCTGGGATGGCCAAACTGCTTGGCAAAGCTGCAAAGTGTGTTTGCTCTGATGAGATTTCCCGCTTCCCTTTTGAAGGAGGTCTCGTACTCGTTTTGGAGACTTTGTTGCATGGTTGTTTGGAAAACCTCGGGTGGCTCACGAAAGGTACGCTACGTTGGAATGGCATCTTCCTCCTCCAAATTTTACCCTCGGGTGGCTCACTGAAGGTGTGCTATTTTGGAATCGCGTCTTGCCCCTCTAAATTCTACACGCGGCTAGGTTGGAGTCGCGCCTTCCCCTCTAGATGTTCTTACAAGTCTGTTGCGTGCCGGGGCAATCTTCTGCTGTTGCTATGGTGAAGTATCTGCGTGTACGTTGACGGGGCTGTGGCAATGACAATTAATGATATTGCTGTGCTCTGCCGGGACGGGAACAAATGATGGGTCTGCCTGCGTTCTGCTAACCATATATGAATGACAGTAGTTTTCCGGCACGGAGTGGGCGCTGCAGAAGGTTAAGTCTGCTACGTGGAAGAATCTGCCCGCGCGATGACGTGGAGGCGAATATGGTGTTTGTCCAATTTCGTGCATGGTTACAACTGCGTGGCCATAAATGGCCTGTCAGCATGTCCCTTGACACGGCGAAAATCGGCTTGGCACGTGGACGGAACTTTTGGCATGTTCATGCATGTTCACTGCACGGATCCCATGCTGGTGTAAATGCGGCGTGTCGCTGGGGAGCGGGATGATTGGCGGTGTTGCATGGTTGTATCTAGTCTGTGGCGCATCGTGGGCCCAAATTGCATCACGCCGCTGCGCCATGCGACTTTGCGCGGCCTGGGTGGAGAGTGCGTTTGCGTGAGTCCGTGCCATTCAGGGAAGGAAAACATGCTGATGTAAAATCGGCATGCCGCTGGGGAGCAGGCTGCCTTGGCACTGTCCACAAGGCTTGGTGTTGCATTGTTGTATCTGTCCGTGGCACACCGTGTGGCCAAATTACGTCTGTGAGGTCGCTGTGCCACGCGGTTCGCACGGCTTCGAAACATGCTGGTGTAAATTCGGCGTGTCGCTGCAGAGCGGCGGCGCCCACAATGCTTGGTGGTACGTTGTTGCACCTGGTCTACTAAGTAAGAGTGCCCCAGAAGACTGTCCCAAAACAGTTTTCCACAAGAGGGTCCCGCAAGAGTGTCCTACAAGAGTGGGCCACTGCCACAAGAGCCACAAGAGCACCGCATACAAGAGTGTCTTGCAAGAGTGCCCCACGAGAGCGTCAAACAATGTTTGGTCGTTTGTTTTCGACTGCGCGTTTGTATTCGGGCTCGTGGGTTTCATCTTGTTGTTTAATGCTTAGCATTGCTTAACTACAAGTGATCAAGTTTCATACAGGTTTTAGGTTTGAGCCTAAAAGCAAAATTTACTGTGACTCCCACCATGGCATTTCAATCATGCCATGGTGAGGAGCATGTTGCCATAGTCGTGAGTTTGGGAGTTTTAGACTGTGCTTGTGGGTTGGCATCCAAAAGTGCTACCCTGTGACCGGCTGCCACGCAAAACGCGTAATTATGTTGTTGTTGGTTGTTGGTAGAAACAAAACAGCCGCCCAACATAGTTGTCACATGTTGTAACTCTGGAACGTAAGGTCATGGATACGGTTGAAGGTTTGAGGGAATGTTGGTTTCGTAAGTAGGTGGACTTGTTGGACTTGTTTCACCCTAGTCTGGGCCGCCTTTAGTGTTTTTGAAGTGTTGTTCTGAAGGGGTGTCAAAAAACACGACAACGGGGCTGAAGTCTTTGTTTCTAGGATGAGTAAAGACAACAACACCTTTTGAGGGGGGGGGGCCAAGAAACAGCAACGGGGCTGCAGCTAGGATGTACTGCTGCTGCTACTACTACTACTACTCCTCCTACTACTACTGCTGCTGCTCCTGCTGCTGTTACTGCTGTTACTACTAAAGCTACTACTTCTACTACTACTACTACTACTACTACTACTCCTCCTCCTCCTGCTGCTGCTGCTGCTGCTGCTACCACTACCACTGCCACTGCCACTACCACTACCACTGCCACTGCCACTACCACTACTACCACTACTACTACTGCTACAACGACTACTACTAGTACTAGTACCTACTACTGGCACTACCAGTAGTAGAAGCACTGCCACTGCTGGTAAAAGTACTTGTTGGCTGGTTGTTTTCAGCGGGGTGTCAAAAAACAACGACGGGGTTGCAGCTTTAGTTTGTACCTTGTTGTTGTTGCTGTTGTCGTTGTTGTTGTGTTTGTGGTTGTGTATGTGTGGTTTGTATTGAGTGTTGTGGTTGTGCGTGGGGGTAAGGTCCGGTAGTGATCACTGTGATCTGGCGCTTGCCGTTGAGGTATACTGCCCACTGTGATCTGGCGCTCTGGCGCTTGCAGTTGTGGTGGCGAGGAGGAGGAAGGAGGAAGGAGGAAGGAGGAAGGAAGAAGGAGGGAGAAGAGCTCTGATAAAATCTAACAACCCTCACCTGGCAGGTGGGGGAAAAAACACATCACATATGGTTGTAGAAACAATTTGAACACCTGGAACCAACGACCGGACGCGACCGCCTCAACGATCTCGGAGACCGTCACGTTGATGATCTCCCCCGGCTGCCACTGTTCTGGAGGCTTTGGAGGGCACTTCAGAAACCAAGCACAAAGGGATCGAACGATGCTGTTTTGCTCGGTGGCTGGTGGGGCAGGTGGGGCAGGTAAGGCTATATGGGGTCTAGGGTGTGCTTTTGGGAAAAAACAATCAAGTAAGTGGATAACCTGCACCATGATCCAGGTGCTCGAAGTGTCTTCGCATATTTTGGGCCATGCAGGCAGGTTCTCCCCTTGCTGGTGGGGCTCTTGGCAGGAGACCTGCAAATGGAAGTGGCTTTCAAAATTCCAAAGCTTCCAAGGGCAAACTTCTGAATGTCCCCAAAAACAAATAGATCGGAAAAGTTCTGAAGTTTCTCGTATCTCACCGAGTCTCGCTGTCTCACCGGACCTCACTTTGTTTTTCAGTTTCTACGAAAACCATGGCCTCCACAGTCCCTCTAACAAACAGTTTCGCTGTCTCCGGTCCCACCGGACGGAGAGAAGAGTGAGTCGAGTCCCTCGTGTGTGTGTGACACCCGAGGTCACCCGAGGTCCCTGGGAGGTCCCTGGTCTGAATCCCAAGCAACCGATTGACGAGGGGTTTTTTGGACATTTCCAGACTACAACATCAGGTCAACCGAACTCCTTTAAATGGAAGACAGTCGGAAGGAGTCCGGGATGTGACGTTTGGGACGGACGTGTGGAGCGTTCTGACATCGATGATAAATCGATGCGGAGGAAACATGTGGCACCCTCGGTCCGAGTAAAGTGCTTTCGCTTCAACTTCCTCTTAGTACAGGTCTACATTGAGGTAGAGAACAGCAATTATGTTTTTGATGTACGAGTGGTTCGGGACATGGACGGTGCCCGACATAGATTTCTACCATCTTGAAAGATTTACACACATGCATACAGCATACATGCATATATATATATACCCTAGAAGTCGAACCACCATTGTTTTTTTATAATAGCCTTTACGGAACAACCATTGTTTCACTAAGGGTTTTACAAAACCAGATCAACCATTTTGTAACATGGTCGGTCTTTGACTTCCAGGGTATATATATATATAACCAGAACCTGAATGACCTCTATTTTGGACCACCAACCGCCCAAACATCTGACCGGCCCGGAACGCGTTCCGTGCCGCTTCGCTCGGCTGACACCAAGGGGCTCAGCACGATGTCCTGTGAGTCGACCAAGACCGTCATCGCATGGTGGTTGGTCTGTCGTGCTCCATCTGATGCCGGGATTGGGTCGGGCAGAGTCGACATCGCCAGTTGACAGGACCAACGGCGGCGCGGCGTATGTCTTTAGGCTTCAAGAAGCCGATTTGACGATGCAAAGCCGCAGGCCCTGACCAAACAGAAGTCCAGATGGGAACGCATGTATAGGTCAAGCAAACGTGCCAGCGGAACTGTTCACGCATCGAGTTGGGTCATGTTAGGTCTACTTCGGGCTCTGGAAGGCTCCAGAGGGTCCGGTTTCCGGTTCGATCTCGGCTCCTCCCATGTCAAAGCAGAGCATTCTCAGAATCCCTCAGATGGTGCAAGCTGTGCAATCTCAAGGAGCTACCCTACAACCTGAGCAAACACGAAAGCAACCCAAACGCCCAAACGCCTTGCTCCAGGCCCAGCAAGTAGGGCGCGGGCTGCGCCAAGGCAAAGGAGTACTTGAAGGACAAGATGGCATCGCCTCAAAGGTCAACCGGCCGTGGATCTCCAAAAAACCCTGCCCTGCTGGATATCCACGGTCCAACGCTTGAGAGATCGAACCACCTTCCCACCTCATGGCTGAAAAAAAGGGCATGTGAAGGCACTGGAACCCGACCCTCCCCCCCTCCCCTCAAGAGTTGTGAGCATACCCCCCCCCCCCCCCCCTGCATGGTCTTCGCTCCCCCAAGATCAGGTGCCTTTTTCGGCGTCAAGTCCTGGCACGTCCTCGACACCGGGTGGCACCAACTCCAGCCGGTCCTCCGCCGTCCCATGTCGGTATATGACTTGTATGATTAAAATAGTTTAATCACATGCAATAAGCCCTAAGGTTGGAATTGAAACTTGCAAGGTGCTGATTTGCACCACCCCCCCTGTCGTTGATCCACCTTCCATCCCCATGTCGTTCGCCATGTGCCGAGCCGCGGATCATGGGATTCGTGCGATGCTCTAACGGTCGGCTTAGGACCGCATCTCAGTGAGCGGCAGGGACGCCGGGTTCCAACGACGAAGCCACCGACGAGTGTCGACGAAGTGGTGAAACCGAAGGAGTCTTCTAGTCTTCGAACTTCTGGTTTACTCCAACTTGGGACACCAATCACGCTTGCGGTCTTAGACCTCTGAAAGCCTTGAATGAAAACTTGGGACACCAAGAACCTGGGATGACACCATTCGGATGACCGGGGCGCCACCCAGGGCCTTGAGCAGGGTCAGTGACTGTTCGCGAGACCCGTCTTTTCACCGGTCCTCATGGCTTCAGACACCTCCGGGGCCAGGGCCTTTCCCAAGTCCAACGACTCGGTTCCAAACTCCCCACGATCTAAGCCCTGGGCTGTGAAACATGCACCATGACGTCAAGACGAAGTGGCCACATACCAATCAGCCCCCGCAACATCCACCTTCCACCAATCGACTAGTATGTGTCCTTCCTTTTTGTTGACCCGCGGAAAAGACGATCACAGCGGTTGAGAACGGCTGAAAACAAACCCAACGGCGCACGGGGAACCAACTATTTCTAGAAAACGGCACATTCCGTGTTTGTCCTTGTTGAGGATGTCCAGTGAATGACCAAAGCAACAAAAAGCAGTTGCTGTCGGTCGAACATCATCCGTTCCAATGAGATGCCGTTGTTTGTCAAAAAGTACTGTTGAATCAAATACTATCAATCTTCGCGGCACCGCCATCTGTTTCCACAAATCTTCCATGACACGCCGGCAGGTGTTGCGGATCTAGTCTGCTAGGTGTTAGTCAGAATCAAATCCTTTCAAGCCTGGAACAGTTTGACCACCAACTCTCCCAACTCGTCGAGACCCTTTCTTCCAGCTCCCACTGCTTCATCCGAGCCACTCATGTCCTGACTCCCTTAGGGCGGACGACTTGTTTCGAGGACAACAGTGGTGCTTTGCAGCTCCTACTTTCACCTTCCAACCTTCTAAGTTTATAAAGTGTCAAAACTGTCCACAACATCAACGATCAGCTTCAAAACTGCAAAAAAAAAGTGGCGACTGCGAGCCCACCCGACGAGGTTGGTCGGCATGCACTCGACTCTATAAAGCCCCACAGCACTGGCGAGAACCACTGGGTTGCGCCAGTTAGGGATAGAACAGTGGCCCGAGTTCGGTTTCGTAACGATGTGTCATTGCTTCTTGTCTGTTGTTGTGTTGTCACTGCTTATGTTTCGTTGTCGCCATTGTGTTTTGTCAGTGTCATGGTTTGTTGCCTGTTGTTGTTCATTGCACTGGGTGATGCGCCGCAGCAGCTGAGGTCCCCATAGCCCCATAGGGTGGGTTCTATCTAAAGTCTACCCCAGTCCTGTCAGGTGGAGAACAACTACCATCGCACAGCCCTTCGTATTCCACGCCTGTAGGAGGTTGACCACTGCTTCCGTCTCCATCTCCAGCCTGACCATCACCCATGCCGTCTCCAGCCTGACCATCACCCATGCCGTCTCCGGCCTGACCATCGCCCATGCCGTCTCCAGCCTGACCATCGCCCATGCCGTCTCCAGCCTGACCATCACCCATGCCGTCTCCAGCCTGACCATCGCCCATGCCATCTCCAGCCTGACCATCACCCATGCCATCTCCAGCCTGACCATCGCCCATGCCGTCTCCAGCCTGACCACTACCATCTCCCACAGCACCGTCACCACCATCTCCGACAGCGCCATCACCACCTCCAGCAGCCCCGTCACCAGTGCCACCATCTCCGACAGCACCGTCACCACCAGTGCCACCATCTCCCACAGCACCGTCACCATCAGTGCCACCATCTCCCACAGCACCATCACCGCCAGCGCCTCCATCTCCGCCGTCACCACCAGCGCCACCATCTCCAACAGCACCGTCACCAGTGCCACCATCTCCGACAGCACCGTCACCACCAGCGCCACCATCTCCAC